GTGGAACTATCTTTAATTCTGATCTGACTCAGCAGTGAGTCCATCCGGGGTCGTCGGCCAAATTGGAAAGAATGGCGCCTATGTAAAAGGGGCCTTAAAAAAAGGAGGAGAACTATGGGGTAAGTGCTTTTCCCCATAGTTCTCCTAATTAGCCAGAAAAAATAGCTGGAAGCAACATTAAAGACACTAAACTCAGGGGTTAAATCTGAAAAATGCATTCAAGTACCCTATTAACAAAAATGTATCTTATTTGTGTATCATTTGGTTGTAGATCCTCAAATCATCTCTGATTTGGTGCTGACACTGTCCTTCCTTCTGGAGGTTGGCTACTCTTGTTCCCCCATGGTCTCTGTGTGTGTTGTAAAGTAGCCACAGCTCCAAGCTCATTCCCATGATAGACTACAATCTGAGTAAAAGCTAATCGTGACATTGTAGTCCAGCACAGGAGCGACCTTGGAGTGGTGGCGATTTTACGACACACTAAGGGAACAAAAGTAGCCACCCTCCGGAAGGAAGGACAGTGTCAGCATCAATTCAAAGATGATTTGGGGATCTACAACCGAGAGATACACAAATAAACTACATTTTCAGTAGAAGTTAAAAGTACTTTGACATTTTTCAGATTTAACTCCTGAGTGTAACTTTCAGGAAATTAATTATGGGAAACACACCAATGCAAACTTGTTTTTAAGAGTACAAGCTCAATGGCCATTACCCTAATTCTGGTTGCACTATGAAGCAAGTCACTGACCTGGAACAAGTATACAGCCAAAAAGTCTGTAGACTCTGAACTCCCATCTTACATAACTGTTCTGGCTCAGTGGCTCACTAGGTAATAAAGCAAAGACAAGCATGGCAATGTTTAAACCTGCCCCTTTAAAAATAAACGAGCAACTTCCTTATCTGTATCCTCCTAGGTTCTCAAGAAAAGCTTCAGAGCCGGGGTGGAAGGTCTCAGCAGTTCAATACAGCCATTTGGTTTAACTACTCACATAGAGGACTTTCAATCTTCCTCCTGAAAGTGTCAAACTATAAAATTACAGAGTGGTTGTAAATGGAACTTCACTACATTGGAACAAGAACAAGGCCATCCAGTAAGCGGCAAGATGATTTGTTCGGTTAATAAAAGATATAGCAATCTTAGCAGTGTTCCCTCGAAAATGGACACTGCAAAATAGGCCTTGAAGACTTCTGCCTATATAGTGTAAAATGCTCTGTCATCAATACCGCAGGAAAAAGAGCCAAGGACAGGACGAGGGCATCTTCCTCTCCTAGATCCCATTTACAGCAAGAACAGTCGCAGTGCATACATACCAGAATGGAAAGCACAACAAGCTTCCATTTCCACACACTGGGTCAATACATCATTAATATTCAAAAAAACTATTCAAAATTTGGCTTCCCCAATTAACATTATACTATAGAATATCATTTTTTTTTTTTAAACGATTCATCCCCACACAGCTACCACCTCTTATATCACTGGCCTCTCCCTTTTAGATTGTAAGCTCACGGACAGGGCCCGCCTTACCATATTGTCTTGGTTTGTATTGTAAATGTCCTCCTTATATTATAAAGCACTGAGCAAACTGTTGGCACTATATAAAATTCTGTATAATAATTACAAAAATAATAAACTTAAGAATCAACATCCATTTTTTAACTCAAAACAATGATTCTACCAAAACAAGTGCTTTTCTAACACACAGCCAACAGGGCCTATTCACATTTGTCCATTTTTATGCAGAATATCCCATGAATTTTGCAGCATGAAGATGCATTTCAAGTAGAGATCCCAATATTTTTTGTGTGACAGGATCACATCTATTTGATGTAGTTTAAGAGAAAGGTAAACTATATGTGTCCATTTCACATCTACACATGTACATAACCACACATGTTACATGCACACAGAACAGCATGTATCCAGCCTTAATCCTCCCGCCCCAAAAGCATATATTTCACTTTTTTTTTTCCTCTGCCCTTTCTGTGTTCAGCTGTCAGGAGCATGTGACTCACTCCATGTGCTTGCTGACTGGCCCAGTGCTGTACTATGAAGGCAGAAGAGTCATTATTATTATTATAATAATATAGGATTTATATAGCACCAACAGTTTGCACTCCACTTTACTTAGTCCTGTGTAAGCTTCAAGTGAAATCGCCTCAACAGGTTACAAAGGGCTTCCTGTCCTCACTAGTGATGCGCACACTGAGTGCACCTAAGCCTGCACAAAACCGTCAGTGAAACACCCCCTACCGAAACCATCAGTTGCGGCCAGGGCATTCCCTATCCCATTGTTACGTGTAACTACAG